TCAGCTTTGTCGCTTGAGAACTCTTTTATTTCAGTCCCAGTCATGCATGTAAAATAGTTGCAATAATTAGGTGCTAGTAATGTTGCATTCTCTGCACATTCAAGGCAACTGTATTAGTCATCTTTAAAGCATCTTTTGCACAAAGGATGGCAGTCTTAAAATTGCTAGGTGATATTATCATAAAACTTAAAATCTGGTGTATATTCAACACACTTCTGAATGTCTTCTAGAAAATAATGGGATTAGTTAAAACATGCAAGACAAGCATTGAGATTATCCTCTCAACATCTGCAAAGAATATCATTACATGCTAAAATAAATGATGAATAAAACAATTATCTTACAAATACATTCTTCATTAACTTAGAAAGTATTATCAGGGCACTAACTAGAGCAAATTCCATTAACTTTAAAGTAGCCTGGAATGCAGCTTATACATGCATCAGCTTAGTATGGTAAATTGCAGTTTATACAAAAAGGATGACAATCATAGCATTCCTTGTCATCTAAGGAATAAATCTAGTCTAAATTGATACAAGTAGAAATATCTGAATATTCTGGTCCTAAACAATCATCTGTAGGAGTGTCTGAATGGCACGAGTCAAAGTAATCACAGTGATTATCTAGTAATCTCGAATATGGCTCCTTGCAAAAAAGAAATTTCATGTCTTCTTAACTGTTAGAGTATGGATCTGCATTTAAATCTGAATAAAAATACCACCTGTAATTAATTTCTATAGAGAAATAAGGCTATGAAACTGACTAAAAGCTTTCAAGCAAGGCATGATTGTACACATAATTTCCGCCAGACTCATCCATTTTAAAGTAAGCAATTAGTCCTTTCGATTGCATTTTCACAGGATCTAAAGCTGTATATAATCTATTGGCGATGTAAAAATCAAATGACAGCGAAGTCTTCCAGTATTATAAATCTCTAATAAATATTTTTGTATTTGAGTAAGAAGTTATTAAGAATTGCAATAAAATGGTATTGGGATCTCCTTTATAATTCCATGGTCTTTCTATTATTTTTGATATACTGCTAAGCCCGTTAATTCCTGCCTCTTTATAAGCCACATTTATCTTTGAAAACTAACCCTCAGTATTCGCCATTTGAAAAATCATAAACCATTTACCAGGTACTGCAATAGTTGACAAATCTAGCATTATAGTTGCGCTATCACCAATACTGTACAATAATTATCTTTTATTATTCAAGGCTATTTTATATCTCTAAGTATACTCAATAGTTAAAGGAATATTTCCATCTAGCTCTTTAACTAATAACCACATAATTGTTGTAAAGTTTTTTTGAGGTTAAAAATTTAACTTTATAAGTATTGGAGAATTTTAACTCTACAGCATTAAGAATTTGTTTTTAGGTTAGCAATAGTTGTTGTAAGAATATTTTGCATCTGCTTCACAAATTATCAACTTTTCTCCAGGATTAGACCATTAAGGTGCAATAATTGAGGGACTCTAAAGTATTGTAAATTTATTCAAAGAAGTATATTCCATTAGTGAATTACCATTAGATTCGTCTAATCTATAGTATAATGCCAGATATTTGCCCCAATATAATAAAGGATTAATAAGTTATCGTGAAAGCTAAAACATTATTCCATCATTTATAGCAAAATTAAATAACTTTAATTCTTTTATAAAGCAGTTAGTAGGAAGAATCTAAATTTGTCTTTAAGCCAAAGATATAGAACTAGGGACAATATTATAGATTATTTAATTTGATTCCATTAAGCTGGGTATGCTTATACTAGCAATTTTTTAGATTTAACTAAAACTTGATACCAAACACTACCACTTCGTTCTTAAAAAAAGATCAATGATACTTGGCTATAAAGTTGAATTTATCTAGAGAAATGGATAAAGGATGAACTTGATTTGATTATTGGCTATGTTTTTAATGTTAATTTTCATGACATTTTCTATCAAAATCATTGGAATCTCCTAATCTTCAGGTAGATTACTCAATTTTCTTAAGTTATAGCAAAAGCTCAACGTATAATCTTACTCTATCATAACATTTGTTAGTGGAAAGATAAGAGGTGAAGTTACCTGGTATTCAAAGTATAGTGAATTTTCTCTCAATTAAAAATCTCTATTTGAAGTTTAAATCAAATTTACCCCTTATGAACCTCTAGGTGTATAATCCCAATAAATCTTAGGACTTGAAATTAACAGAGATCTATTACTATGTCTAGAATAGTCATAGACATATTTATCATAGCTTTCTTCTAATGGATAATATGTAAGTAATGAATTATAATACATATTTTTGCTTATCTGCGAGTAAAGGTTATTTAAGATATCACCTGACGATCTAGGATAACCAAATATTGCAAATTCTGAGGCTTTAGCTTTAAAAAGAGATCCAGCTCTTAAATCTATATCAATACTAGAAAATGTTAAATTCTCAAAACTTCCTTTATTTTCTTCTATCTTTAGAAGCTGTTTGTTTTCATTCTAGTAAATAGTCCACTCTTTTTTAAATAATACAAGGTTTATTCT